CGTCCCCTCAGGTGGCTGGGGGGGGCTGATCTTTGCCCTTTGGGGGGTGCGGTGTTTGCCCCTGCCCAGGCTTTATGCACGCGGTGCCGGGCTTGCTTCCCCCGTCCCGTAGGGCAGCTGTCGGATGGGGCTGGATCGACGGCCCGGGCTAGGCCTCGCCTTCCTCCCCGTCCTCGGCTGGCGATGCCAGGGCAGCCCCCGCGCTGCGTGGCGGCCTTGTGGGAGCGGGGCTTCCTCTGCGAGCTGCGCTGTGGTGGTGGTTCAGGAAAAATGGTTCTTGAAAACATTTTTAATTAAAAAAACGGGGTGCGGCTGCCTGTTGGCTCAATTTCTAGTGGATGGACTGTAAAATACTGAACAAAATGCTTTCTTACGAGGTATTTTGAGGGTGGGTACTTTTCGGCAGTCATCTAAGCATTAAGTTTGATACCAGTTATATTAAAACAAAAATAGAAATCGATCTGCATAGGTAGTGGGTTTAAGGTTAATATATTTCAGTAGTATTCATCCCTGCCAAAGCACTCGGGCTTGAGCTGTGCTCCAAGCATGAGTAACAGCTGAGTTTAAATCCCTTTGCTGCTTTCATGAGGCATGTGGCAGGTTCTCATGTTAGAGAACCGCATTAGGACTGCGGATGAGCTGCCTACCAGAATGCTAGATATTAAAAAGCCAAAGTGACTGCCCCCTTACAGGTTATCTCTGTCCAAGTGGTGGCAGTCATACTGGGAGGATGCAACCTTAATATTTTTAAAGTATATGGGACTTCTGTAGAATAATCTTAGAATGTATGTCTGTTGAAAACAAATTGGGGTTTCCATCTTGCTGGCACTAAAAGCTTAGGAAGTGTGGCAGTGTCACTAGATGCTGCACTGAACAAGACGTCAAGATGGGTGCCATCTTGAGTGCTGATGGACTGTATTTTTGCAGCATTACTCCTGCCAGTGGTAAAACTTTCACTTTGTAAAAAGGCAACTTCTTAGTAAGGATGAGTTGGCGTAACTTGCTGATTTATTAAACCTGCTGTATCATGGCAGTGGCCTAGAAGACTTCTAAAAATGCATTAATAGAATACCCGTTACCTGCCCTGTTCTTGATTCTCTCTATCAAAGGAGCCAGAATGCAGGTTTTTTAATGTTTAGTCAAGTAAGCACAAGATCTCCATGCTGTTTGTTAAGTCTCGTTCTCGTGTTTTGCAGATTCTCTTGATCTGAAGATGGCTGCACAGTCAGCACCGAAGGTTGTGCTAAAGAGCACCACCAAGATGTCTCTGAATGAGCGGTGAGGAAGCCAACAGCAGCTTCAGCTCATAAGAAATTTTTTTACTTAATTATCGCTGTCCGGTGTCCAAAAACCAACGTGGTTTCTGCCCTCTTTTAACCTCACTAAAACAAGCAGATGGCTATGCACCTCTGTCTTAAACTGCAACAAATGTGGTACGCAAGGTTAAAAGGGCAAGTGTTTCGGAGAAATTTATCCATAGCAGTAAATATTAAACTATTCAACACGTAAATATGGTGGGATGTGTTATAACAAAAGAGAGAAACCTCACACCCTCCCTTTTTCTTCCACATGTTTTTACATTTATATAGTTGACACTGCAGCATGGTAGCATGTTACCTAAGCTGCAGCAGGCTTGCTGCTTTGTCCGAGGCAGACACACGTGCATGTGGTCTGGCCTGTAAGAGGCATGCAGCACGCCATTAAACAAGCCCAAAGGCCCTTTAACAATGTTTTGGGCCTTGTAAGAGGCAAATGCTTTGCTTCATCTCCATCTCTCTCTTTTCTTGATTTCTTTATTTCTTCTGTTGAGTATTCTTATGTTTTTCCACGCCATTGAGCTTTTGTGGTTCTACGGTGACAACTAACAGCGATGCTGCAGTTACGTTTCAATTTCTTACTAATCACTCTTGGATTAACTGTGTTAGTGTCATTGAATCAGGGATAAAGGGAGCTGTTTGCGTGCAGTTCCTGCTCTAGCAAGTGCTGCAGTGAGACATAGCCTGAACTGGTGCTCGGAGCTTACCCCAGGAAAGCTGAGTGGTGAGATGCAGCACAGGGAAGGCTTGCTGGCCTGTTTCATTTTGGTCGGTCCATATTCCTCATCTGTAAGTGTTTTCTTTTGCAGTCTTGTGTAGCTCCCAGGACGCAGTAGAAAGCTGATGGGTTGCTACTAAGGAGGCTTGCCAACTTGCTGTACGTTCTCCTATATAGCTCTTAAAGACAGAAGATTCTTTGTGCACCAAAGAAATTGCCAAGTAAACTGTTTTTATAAGTGAGCACACTTGGGTGGTGGCATTTCTTACGGCACCAGTTCTGTGGTGCGCCAGAGGCACACTAGTCTGTTCTCAGGGCAATCTCTTTTGTAAAGCTGCCTTCTGGCATTACGTTTTTAAACAGTTTTCTCAGATTCTTGAGGGTTAATTTGGCTTTTTCAATCGGATTTCAGTTTGCTTTTCTGTTTCTGTGATGTCCTCTCCCATCTGTCATGATCATCTCTGCTTATTGCTTGTTTTCATTCCTTCTGCCATTTCTAAAATCAGTAACCTAAAGCTTTATCACTTCTGAATTAATATACAACATCATTTCTGAGTTTCCAGTTCTTGCACACTTGTGGAAAACAAGGAATACGTAATCACTTATGACGTGACCTAAGTACCACTCTTTACATAAGGTTCATGGGATCTGGAGATCCAGTCTTGAGAACCATGAAATGCCAATAAATGTATGTAATAAAGCTTTATTTAAACACCCATTTTATTCGACCTTGAAGCTTTACTAACATGCTGAAGAACAAACAGCCGATGCCAGTGAATATTCGGGCTACCATGCAGCAGCAGCAGCAGCTAGCCAGTGCCAGAAACAGAAGACTGGCCCAGCAGATGGAGAATAGACCTTCTGTCCAGGCTGCTTTGAAGCTTAAACAGGTGAGAGAAAGTGGCGTATTCTGGGGCAGCCCGCTGATGCCTGTCACAGGCAGATGGCTTTTCAGGACATGGTGGATTTTGAAAAACACTCCTGAAAGTTAAAAGTGAGAGACCTAGATGGGACTTGCAGAAAATCCTGCTTTTTACTTCAGATAAGTAATGCTTTGTAACTTACTGGTCAATATTATTGAGTTGGGGGGGGTTTGTGCTGGCTGTTCATATCTCCTCTCTATTTTTTCAGAGAAATGTTCTCATTCTGGGTTTCTGGATCTGCCGAGTGCTTCATCTCGCAATCTAGCTGCAGTTACAATTGCTGCAGATTGTTTCCAGTACTTACTATCCAGTTGAGGCTGGTTGCTCCTATCCCCAACTCCACCCTCTCTTGGTGCACTCCCTTGATAGCAGCTGGCTGCGAGGAACAGATGAACAAACTGATTTTTTGATTGCTTGCGAATGCTAGAATCCAGGCCTGGATTTAAGGCATAGTGTTGCATCCTCCTTGTATAAAGGGTCTTTATCGTTCCACGTTTCAGAGATGAGTACTGCAGATTGCAGTGTGTGCCTCAAATTGCCTTCTACTGCTAGAGCAGAAGATCTAAGCAAACATGCTAGATTTTGATTTCTCTGCTGCAGTCAGTGTGCTTCTCTGTAACTCTGGACTTACGGAAGGGGCAGGGGGCAAAATCTCGCTACATCAGAAACCTCAATAATGTACAGAAGAGAACTCATGGTCAGACTGTAGGGGGTTTTGCAAGTTTTAAAGCTTACGTTTAAATGGGAAGGCTGGTAAGATTAGCTTAAAATGTATGCGTAGGGCACATTGAAACCTGTGGGGTGGTGCTCCACAGCCATGCAGCGAGTTCAAATAGTGGCACTGCATGACTTGACTGCAGCAGTAGTTAAATATAATTCCGTACATTATCTCACACATGAGGAGAAAACCCTGGAAATTTCTTAGCTGAGCTGCTTCACCAAATAGCTGGAATACTTAAACCTGCCACACATGCTCACATTCAGGGCTCACTCTGATAAAGAGGAATGCAGCTGCTTTTTAAGATCTCTTGAGACTTCTGCTGTAAAAACAGACTGTGGTGCCAGTTAGCCTTGCAGAGCTTGTAAACAAAAGCTCTGGAAATGGTAGTCTAAATTATTTTCTGCTTTTAAAAAAAAAAAAAGTTTGAAAAGGTAAGAATTTCACAAGTGGTAAGTGAAACTGGATTGAAAGCCTGAAGTTTCTGCTTGCTGAATTGAGGTGCCACAGAGGAACAAGGAAGAACTAGTCTTTTGGCTTAGCTCTTAAACCCATTTAATTTTTATGTTGGGCATAGGTGTACTCTTCCATGGTCTTCTGGAATTAAACGCTGCAAGGGAGGGGCGTGGAAGGGCGTTGTAGGGAAATTTGGAAACCTGGTTTATGTTGGGTTGCTCTTCGAAGATTGCAGGTTGCTCTGGAAGTTGATGCGGTGATTGGATTTTCGCAAGGGCTTTACTTGGTATCTCCAGGAGCTTTTCTGATCCTTCTGGATGTGCTGTGCCCAGAAGTGCTGGGGAGCATTGATCCCAGTGATGGGTCACCTGTGCTTCAGAAAGGACTTCTCTAAACTCCTGCGGAGCACTGCTTGTGCTAGATTCATGGGTTTGTGTTTTGCATCCTCTGCATCTGAGTGCATAAGTATTTACGTAAGCCTGCTGTGGTTTTTTTTAATGTAAAAACATTTATGCTGGCTGTGGTTCTAGACGTGCATTTACTTAGTAGCTGGAGCAGACCAAGGTGCTACCGCTCTGAGGTTGAGCAGAAGGGCGAGCACTCTTAGGCTGTTTCAGTGCAAAGTCCAGCAGCTTATCTTAAACTCTCATGGTAAGTGACATAAACGAATAAATTGAATGTGGAACATAAACATGCTATCTCATTCCTTTCTGCCAGCAAGGTTGGGCAAAAGAGAGAGGCTAACATTTTAGGCTGCTACAGCTATTGGAAAAATGAATGACTATCTAAACTCTGAGGCAGTAAAACTTAAAATCTTACTACAGCTACAGAAGAGGCTGATTTTAGATGAACCAATTCAGCTGTCCAAAGGCTTGGGCCCAGTAGGCAAGCAATAACTTTAAGCAACTCTTGGAACCTGTAGTAAAATACAGCCTTTATGGCTGCTCCCATCGCCTTAGGGCCAAGAGCTCTTGTTCTCGAGACAAGCGTGAAGGTTCCCACTGTTGCTTCTTAGCTCTTTGTTGCTGCTGTTCTGGTGAGGGTAAATTTCTTCAGTATAGTTTTTGTAGTATAGATGGAAAAGTTGATGGTTTTTCTAGCTGTTGCCTTAGTCTGTGTGGAAGCCTAGCTGTTCCCAGTAGGTCACTGGGAATGATACCCATGGCGTGTGGCGGCACAGATGTCACTTGCTCTGCAGAGGGGGGTTAGGCTTGTGCCACAGCAGGGGTAGTTGCTTTCCATCTCGGGGATTTGCTTGGACTGTCCCCTTCCAGCAGAAAGGAGTAGTGGGCTGCCTTGTGGATTAAGTGTCTGCTTTGATCTGGACTGAGCAGCACTCTTAAAAATGGAGGAAAATATTTCCTTCCAAATCTGCAGACTTTCTTGTCTCTGTACAAACACTTGCTTCCAGGAAAGGTCTTTGTTCTCTGTTTGACCTTCACAAATTATCCCTCCCAGAGCAGATTTGATTGTCTTCCTTTGAAGTTTGATTACATACTGCAGAGAGCTGGTGACCCTCTATTTTACTTTAAAAAAAAAAAAAAAAACCCAACGCACCACTTTTATCGATAGGCAATTGCTGTGCTGTTTGTGTTGCAAGTCTGAGATTGCTGCATGACTTTCTTGCTTCTTAAAAATCTTCTATTCCAGAAGAGCTTAAAGCAACGCCTCGGTAAAAGTAACATTCAGGCACGATTAGGCCGGCCGGCGGGACCCCTTGCTCGCGGAGCCATGGGAGGAAGAGGACTGTCTATGGGGCAGAGAGGCTTGCCGCGAGGAGCCATGCGTGGTGGCCGGGGAGCGAGAGCTCTGCTGAGAGGAGGAGTCCCACTCAGAGGTCCGTACCGCGGCTGAACTGGAGTTGCTTGTGTGTCAGCAACGCTGTCTTTTTGACAGCGTGACTCTGATTCTGTTGCTCGCTCCAAAAACTGACTTCTTTCTGACTGGAATTGCCTTTCTCTATTGAAGGTCAGAGCCTGCTTCGTGGAGGACGAGGTATATCCCCCCGGATGGGCCTGCGAAGAGGTGGCATTAGAGGTCGCGGTGGCCCCGGGAGAGGTGGTCTCGGCAGAGGTGCCATGGGCCGCGGAGGACTTGGTGGCAGAGGTTAGTGTGCACAGACTTGAGGAGCGACACATTGCTGCTGAATAAGCAGAAGTAAGCTTTAATTCTTTCTCCTGTTTAAGGCTAGCATGTGTTAAGTACGTGCAGCCGCCAAAGCCCTCTGTTCTTGAACTGGCATACGGCGTAGTGCTAAATTAAGGCTTCCTTTCCTGAAATGTCTTGCCAGGCCTTACGCCTCGCCGAGATCCTTGAGTCTGTCAGCGTTGCTAGAGGGGTTCTGGGGACTCTCAGCAGCGTTGCCCACTCCTGCAGGTTATCGCTGGCTGCGTGATGCTTTGAATAGCAGTCAAGGCAGTGAGCAATCTTTAGCGTGTTGAGGAAGACTGCCGTCTCCTCGCACTTAAGAAGGAAATGATATAGAGCCCGTGTAAACCAAGAGACTCTTAAAATAATTAGTGCGGGGAAAAATGTAACAGAGGAGAAAGCTTAACCCCCTGCAAAATAAATTCAAAGTCTGAGACTGAATCAAGTCTTGGGTAAATGAACTCTTGATTTTCAACAACAAATTGGAGAAGCAGTAAAGCAGGAGTGTGAGAGGAAGTACAGGAGACAGCTGTTGATGGTAGGGTTGTTAACGTTTCAGGCAGATGTTTGGTTGGAACACCAGCCAAATGCTCTCTCGTGTTACTTGGGATTGGCCCAATGTTTGTAGGGGTTAGAGCAGTATCGGGAAGCTGCCCAGCTCTTGACAGCCTTGGCTTGTAGCTTTAGGTTTATTTCTTAGCCTGACAAACAAATACTGATCGACGTGGGCTCTTGGGTATCCTACTTCTGAAGTAGTCTGAAAACCTCTCAATTTGAAGTACTTGTCTGCAGGAAAAATTTGCTTGTAACGATCAATGGCATTGCCACTTTGCCAAAAGCTTCAGCCTTGTCCCAGAGATGTGCGGGAACTTGGGGTGCGCTCCACGGAGGAGAAGTACGCAAAGCGTAGGTGGGATTGGAATGTGAGTGGGGGAGCCGGGAGCCTGCGCTGAGCGCGTAGCTCTTGGTCATGGATCAAACATCTGTCTGGGCTCCTGGGCTGAAACAGAAGCAGCCTGGGGAGCTGGCCCAGCGCGGCAGAGCCCGGCCCGCGGCAGGAGCTCAGGGGTTGCCGCTGCAGCGATGCTGCAGGACTTCCCCGTGCCGGCGCTGAAGCAGCTCTGCCAAGCGCACCGCGCTGTCCAGGCGTGGAGGAGCGGCAGCC